GGAACTTTACGTTCCACATCTAACAGTCTAGCCAACCCAACATCATGTAGAATCGTATGAATGTCATACATGGCTAATTGTTCGAATTTGATATATCTAGTGGGCAGGATTTTCAGTTTGCATAGCTCCCTATATTTCTTAACTAGGGGCTTAAACAGAAGATAATCCTCATAATGAGAGGCAATGGAAGATGAGGAACCAGATTCAGGTTTAGATCTTTTCTTAGGAGGCATTTTGACAGAAATTGAAAACCCTAAAGAGAAAATAAAGCACAATAAGTATAAATGAGCAAACTCTATACCAAAACCCTAGAATAGAAATGTTGAAACTTTAGAGCAAGAAAAGAAATTGAAAGGCCCAGCAAAATTTCAACACGAGATTTGATGAACGAGTGTTCGCGGTCGACCGAAGGAACTCTGCGGGCGACCGAGGGAAGAGCTGGAATTTTAGAAGAAACTGTCGAATGAATTGGAAGATGAAGGGGATCAGATCATAAGAGGAGAAGGAGGGATGGCTCAGATCTGGGCAGAAATGAGATCAACGGTGGTGGTTGATACGAGTTTAAAAAATAACCAAATAAAACCGAAACCCGAAGTTGAAACGAAATTGACGCAGAAAAATCCCTTGCGGTCGACCGTTGCGGTCGACCGTGATAAACTCCAGAAACATTGACGGTCGACCTTGGCGGTCGACCGCGAGAAAGAAAAAGGCATAGGCAGTTTATAAAATCTGGATTTTGAAGAAAATTCAATTTGATCCTTAATAAAATTGTTTTATAAGATATATAAATACATATAAAGTTTTTAGCCATTTAAAAACAAAAAAAAATTATTTTAACTTAATAAAAATACAATTCATCATTAAAACTCAAAAACTCAATTATTCAACAACCAAAATGAACAAAAAAAAATTGATATAAAAATCATTTTGGTACCGCTAAAATTTGGGACATAACCCCTATCATTTAAATCCAATGCCCTAGGGTTATGAACCCGCTTGGGCGTATTTTGTGCACCGATACGATCAAAGCAAAAATTGTAAACATGACCCATACGATTGCAATTTGTGCAATGTAGAGGTTTGAATGGTTTACGTTGACCGAAATGAAATGCACGTGGTTCATTTGCAAGAATAGATTTTTCTTTGTAATTATTTTGCAAACGAGAATTTCTTTTTAAATCGAAACAAAACATGGTCAAATGACCAAAACGACCACAATAATCACATTTGTACACATGAGCATGTTTATGATTTACACTATATGTGTGTACATGTGTATGTGATGAAGAAGTTTGATGGGATGCACAATCATGAATAGGCTTGTCAATTTTTGGTGCATTATGACAAAGTTGAGCTAAATGACCTTTAAGACCGCAAATAGAATATTTGTGAATTTTGTCATACATATGTGCATAGTGAATAGGTTTCTTAGAAGAATTAACATTGGACTTTGCACATAAGTCCATAAGCTTTTTATTATTAGCAATACAAGTGTTTAGTGTTGAATTTAAGATGGATATATGTTTTCTCATTTGATTCAACTCATCATTGTGCATACAAGCATTGCTACTAGAAGTAGGATAAACAAGATATTTCATCATAGATTTTAACTTATCTACTTCTAACATAGCATCATATTTTTCATGAAGCAAACTAGCATTTTCAATTCTCAATTTTTCATTGTATTCTTTAAGAATTATATTTTCATTTGTAATAAAATTAAACTTAGTGGCTAGTGTTTCATGAGTGGATTTTATATTTACATACTTACTCTTTACATCAATATAGCAATTGTGTAATTTTTCAAACTCAAGAGCAAGTTTATCAAAAGTAATAATATCATCGTTATCAAGCTCGCATACCTCACTAGGGTTATCACCTAGTGGTATTATACATGGAGATGAGGCTTCCTTAGAGCTTAAAACGCGATCTTCCAACGCTTTTTGAATAGCCTCCGAGTCTCCTTCATGTGCTTCAATAAATTTCTATAAGGCGTAAGCACTATCAAAATGAGCAAATTTGTTAGAAAACGATGAGTGAAAAGCATTAAGCAAATATTCTAACAAGAGCTTGTTCATGTTAAACAATCTTTTATCATTTTTACTCCATTTGGATCTTTCCAAAATGGGAACAACATAGGCATCCTCAATAATCTCCCATAAATCGAATTGTTTAGATTGAACAAAAAGTTTGAATCTAACACGCCATTGAGCATAGGAAAAAATATCCAAATGAGGAGCAACATTAATAGCATAACCTAGACTAGATGCATCATACATATCCATAATGATTATATGCAAAAAGCAAAAGGCAATCAACACTAGATTAGCACGAAAACGATAACTTGGATCTTTAACTCAAGGCGATTAGTCCTTAAATCAAAGAGCACCAAGCTCTGATACCAATTGTTAGACCCTAGGGAGGGGTGATTAGAGGATTAGGATCTTATGCTAATCTAATCCCGATTAAATTCCAATTAAAATTATGTTGATCAATTTGTTCTAGCAAGAGATAGATATGAATAAGAACGATAAGAAAAAGCACAAATAAAAATATATGCTAAGCAAGCACAAACACAAGATATGTTTACGAGGTTTGGTCCTCACGACCTACGTCCCCGCTCCTCACCTCGAGGAGATATCCACTATCACAATCCGGTTTAGAAGCTGGAACTTCTACATACTCGGTTTACAAGATCACCGAAAACTCTCACACTACACAATCACTAATCAATCACACTTTACACACTAAGTGTAGGAACCTAGCCCGTGTCCTCCTCCTCAAGTGCTCGGGTGCAACCTCTCCCTAGGTTCGTCAACCGACGCCACTCCTATTGGATTCGACCCCGTCTTTCGCCTCACACTTCTCTCGGTGTACAAGTGTATTACAAGTGATACTCACAAAATAAAGATTAAATACAATGGTTTGTTCTCAATAACAAATGAGAACGCAAATGAAGCTCACATTCACTAAATCACATTCCACAACCCACACTATATAGTATGAAGATATTAAGCTCAATAAGTGTGTGTGATAACAGTGAATGAGAATAATACAACTCAATAAATATAGCTAAGATATAAAAATTAAGTAGAAAGCTATATGTAAAGATGAGTTAGAAAAAACTTCTCCATAGACAAGAAGAATAGTAGATGATGAGATTAAAAATCCTCTTCTTGTAGTAGGAAAACTTCTTTTGAAAACAGACTGATGAAATCAGCTTAAACAGCTCTTTTAAACATACTTAAGATTTTGTTAAACACAAAACTTAGATCTTGTGAAAGAGAGCATCAATGGGGTATTTATACCTACTCAAAAACTCAGCAAAAACCAACTTGAAATGACCAAAAAGCCCCTAGAGAACCGTTGTAAAAGTAGCCGTTAAAAAGCAATGATGACATTGGCGGGCGACCGTGGAAATCTCGCGGTCGACCGCGAGGCACAAAAAATCTGAGAACATGGTTTTTAAGCTGGCGGTCGACCGCAAAAGTCTCTGGATGTATTCACGGTCGACCGTCACGGTCGACCGCAGGCATATAAAATCCAGACTATGATAATTTGTTCATGGCGGTCGACCGTGGCGGTTGACCGCAAACTGACACAGTCTGAAAACCTGTTTTTTGGCTGATTTTGAAAATACTTTAAAAATAGCAAATCAATTCCAAAAATAATAAAACTTTGGGAAAAGTTTCTAAATGATAAAATGAACATGTTAGAAAAGGAATTTTTGGAAAAATAATTTTTTTTTGCAAAAACACGCTGTTTTTTGAAAAGTGTTCGTAAAACCTGTATTTTATGAATATGAAAATTTTGATATGACTTATAACCATGCAAATATATATCATGCATATATTATATGTATATAATAAAGCATGAAAGAGCTGTAAACATGAGATAAAAGATATTGTAACAACGTTTGATGAAAAATCATTTATATGATAGAAAACGTCAAAAATCGGGTTAAGTGTACATATATTGAGCTTAAATATAAACATACAATATATGTAAGTAAACAACTCTTAAACCTAGGTAACTCCACACATATGAACTTGAATCTTTAACGCTTGATTGTCGTGTGTTGAAATACCTGTAAAGAGAAACATAAAAACAAAACTAGAGAATATATTAGCGATAAATTGTTTGACAAATCATCATCAAAACTATAGGATCAATATCACTAAGGATAAATAAATTATCTCAATTTGGTACTTTTGCCATACACTACGCACTAAGTCTTCTCATCCAAATTTAAGGATCCACGTTCAAAAGTTGACTTTAGATTTGTTTATTAAAGTCCATTGCATCTTTAATTGAAAAGGTAAACTTATAGGTTTTTCATATCAGCAGTATTTGCACGGGTTAAAAATATAAGGTTTTATCTACTAAAAAAAATAGCATTTTGTTTTTGCATACTGGCTGCTAAACTCCCTAAATTTTCTATCAGGACCCCATTTCTTACTATTAATATCTCAAATCATTAAAAATGCTTTGAGGTTCGCCTATTCTTAAAAGTTAAAAGTTGTTCCAAACTAGTCTCTCTAATCAGGACCAACAAGAGCCATGTACAATAATAGGGGACCTAACAGCAAATTCAGTGATTTCAGGGAGTAACTTCGCAATATTAAATGTGTAAGGGACTGATATAAAAAAAGTTCCTAAAAATGTCATAAGGCTTTATCAATTAAAAGAAAACATTTGCTTTCACAATATCAGCCCGCTGAGCTCATTGAAATTTCTATTAGACCCCCAATTCTTATTGTTAATATCTCAAATCATAGAAAATGCTTTGAGGTTCGCCGATTCTTTAAAAGTTACAGGTTGTTCCAAGCTAGTCTCTCTAACCAGGAGCAAGAAGAGCGATGTGTAATAATAGGGGACCTAATAGGAAATTCAGTGATTTCAGGGAGTACTTCCAAATATTGAATCCGTAAGGGACTGATATAGAAACATGTCCTAAAATGTCATAAGAACGGGTCCGATCCGAACCGGGATTACGGAAACAGCCCGAGCCCATCCGCTCAACGAGTCAAGCGAGCTTGGGTCCCAAAACCTCGGTGTAAAATCCGAGCCCTGGACTGGCGACGCCGCCCTCGTTCCGTCGGCTATCTCCTTCGTCTCATCGAGAAGGGGCAATGGCGGTGGACTCCGCCAACGAGGCATTGAATCAGGAGGAGAGATCTGTGTCGAGACCTCCTGACCCCAAACCCATCAAGAATCGCGAGGACGAGATCCGACAAATCGCGCGAAAGTTCACCGATCAGCCTGTTCAGAACTCCGATATCGGCGCATGGGGAATCCTCACTGCCATTTCCAAGCTCTCGAGAAAGCGGCCTCAGGTAACTGTAACCCTAACTCTAAACCCTAAACCCTAGTTTCTTGGTTTAACCGTCGGCAGAAGTACATTTGTGCTGATGAATACGGATACGGGTATAAATGGTGCATCTTTGGATAAAATCTCTCTACGGAGACCTTTTATGATGGTTCAAACTGAGAGTGTGATAGTGCATCCAATTCATGCGAACAAGCATATTATTGCTGGAGCTAGAAAACAATGTGGAGAAAGAGAGATGGATATGTTAATAAAATAAGATGTTTTAGTTAAGAGTGCTCCACATTTTCCCAATTTCACGTGACTTTGGCACTTTTTAGAGGAAGTTAGACTTGCATTAAAACTGCCATGGACCTTTTATGCCTTGTAGTTTCACATAGGTTTTCAAGAAGACAAACCCTTGATGCGCTGAAAGTAGGGGGTGCGAACAGTCTGGATACAGCTCAGATATAATACTTACCATATCCGTATGTGCTTACCAATCATGAATATGGATATGCCTCGGTAAGAAAAATTCATATTGATATCCACTAACTGATATTGATATGCATGTGAATATATAAGCGAATATACATTCAAATATGAAATGGATATGAGAAAGCTAGATATTATTGCGAAAAATATAGTTCCTATGTTACAAGAGAGTTCATTAACATATTCATTATATTTGAAAAAATAAGATTAGATATTTTGATCATCAAAATTAACCTCAAATCTTTTAATCTAAGGATTAAAACTGTTGGAATAATATGACTAATATATGTTCAGATATTTTAGATACGGGTCCGAATTTTTCACTACATATCCATATCTGTAACCATATCCTATCAGCTATAGAATTTTGTAACCATATCTGTATCGTAACGTATATGAATATTTACTTAGACACAGATTTCTTTCTGCACCCCTAGCTGAAAGTGTGTTGCTTTTACACTTCCATTTTTCACTTCCATGCAGACAAAACACCCCCTTAATGAATGGCTAGGCTATAGTATTTTTGTGAGTTTGAAACAATTAACGTTAGGATTCTTGATTAATACTTGAGAGGGGGTTTGGCACTTTCTTTAGGAAATAGTCAATGTTTAAGTCAGAATTTAGAAGAGGCGCTAGGATTTGTTAAGTTTGGAGGAGAATGGAAGTGCTGCAATGAGTTAGGTTAGTTAAAGAGCAAGTTATAAGCTTAATTTGGTTAACCCTATGTATATTTAGCATTCTAGAAACAATTAACTACTTTTAAGTTTAGCAAGATGGTAAGGATAAAGCAAATTAACTGTTTGTTCAATAAAATATCAGCCTGCCCTTTCCTCCCGGTTTTTGCAAATTATCAAAAACATGTCACTTCATATTTTATTCATTTTCGTAATAATTTTCTTACATGTTGAAAAAGTATGTATAATTATTATATGATACAAATTAGATAAAGTGAATATGCATTTTGTTTAAAAAAATTACATTAGCAATATCAATTTAATTTCAACTGTGAAACCATGACCGCTGCTTTGCTGATACATGTGATGATGTTGGAACCGAACAAATTGGGGAATGAGCTTGTTGGAATCAGCAGCCTCTTTAATGGCATAGGCTCTGCTAGGGTCTGGGAACCCACTAACAATGGTTCTCAAATTCTCAGTAACCTCCAATCCAGAACTAAAAGGTGACAAATGAGTAGAAACCTAAGGGGGAAAGCTGGAGCTTTTATTTCTAAATTAAGGCATCCCTCTTCCAGACATCTTCCAGTTTTATTTATTCCCCATGGTGTAGAGATAGATAAAAGGTCTCTAAGGTTGGGCGAGAAAGATGTGAAAGGGAGTCTGAATTTGAGGTTTAAAGCGGTGAGAAGGAGAAGAAACTTGGAACAACATTTTCTTAGGAGTTAGCAATAGTCTTGAGTGGAGAGTGCTTTCAAATTTTGTCTTTTTATATCTTGAAATTTTAGGACACGATTTGTCCATTAAGAGTCTTATTTGGTGCCCATATTGGTACCATAACAAGGACTAGTGTCGCTAATCACATCCAACCTTATCTCATTTGCTTAGAAGTGCCGACTTACTTGTTTTGCCTTATAAAAAACATTATATTTCACTTGCACGCTGCACTTTCACATATCTAAAAAGAGTGACTTTTACTCATTCAGTCATTATTTTAGAATATCCCCAACATGGCCCCATATATCCTTTACAGGGCTTGTCGCAACCGATATAGTTCCTAAATATCTGTTACCGATTTTTGGCTATTTTAGGCGATATATCCCCGATATGGCCGATATATCAGCTAATATGTTAGTCGATATATCATTTTATATGGATTGTCACAAAATAATATACCGCATTTGTCAATTTTTGGGCGAGATATCATTCCCATTATATCAAATGCCATTTTGGCCTAAAAATCAAACGAAATGTTGCAATGTTGATTTGTACTTTTGTTTATTTTACAAGGTTGATTAGTGATACTAGACATATATTATTTACATTTTATATGCTTAGATTTTGTTAAGTATGCTGAGATTGTATTTAAGTGTATTATACTATATATGCAAACATCCGTTATAGCATTCCAATAGTTACCACATATCTCCGATATTTTTCTAATATTCACAATCCAATATGAATTTTTGCCATCTGATTTTTTTTCGATATCCGATATTTAGAACATTGAGTTTGCGAATAAATTATTGTTGAAGTTAGAAAACAATGTGGAGAAAGAAAATGCAGATATGTTAGTAGAATAATATATTTTAGACAATTTAGGTAAGTGCACTACACACCTTTTCAATTTTATGTGATCTTGGCACTTTCTTATATTTAGAGGAAGTTAGACATGTGTTGAAGCTGTCATGGACCTTTTTATGTCTTTCAACTTCACATAAGATTTCAAGAAAACAAACTCTTGATGTGCTGAAAGTGTTTGCTCTTACCCTTCCTTTTTTTAGCTCCTTGCAGACATTGTTTTAAATATCCCCGACATGGCCCGATATATCCCCCGATATATCCTTTTACAGGGTTTGCCGCAACCGATATGGTCTTTAAATATCTTTTACCATTTTTTGACTATTTTGAGTGATAAATCCCCGATATGGCCGATATATTAGCCGATATGTGGACCAATATATCTTTTTATATAGCTTGTTGCAAAATAATATACCGTGTTTGGAATTTTTGGACGAAATATCAAGATTTCCTCATTACATCAAATGACATTTTTTCCTAAAAAAAGCAGATTGAATGTTGCAACGTTGCTTTGCACTTTTGTTTGTTTTAGAAGGTTGATTAGTGATCCTAAACATATATTATTCATATTTTGTATGCTTAAATTTTATTACATATATTGAGATTATATTTTAATGCATTATACTATCTATGCAAACATTCATTATGACATTCCGATATTTACCACATATCCCCGATATTTCCCCGATATCCGCAATCCGATATGAATTTTGGCCATCCGATATTTTCCCGATATCCGATATTTAAAACCTTGCTTGCAGACGAAGCAACCCCTTTACGAATGGCTAGAGTATTTTGTGAGTTTGAAACAATTAATGTTGGGATTCTCGATTAAAACCTGAGAGGGGGTTTCGTACTTCCTTTCATGCATGAATCGATGTCCAAGTTAAAATTTGGATGAGGCGCTACGATTAAGTATGTTTGGAGAAGAATGAGGTGCTGCAATAGGTCGAATTATTTAAAGGACAAGTTACAATCTTAATTTGGTTAACTCTATATATATTAGGTATTCTAGATACATAAACTACCTTTAAGATTAGCAAGATGGCAAGGATAAAGTAAAATAATCATTTATTCTAATAAAATGTCAGTCTTCCTCTCCATTCCCTTTTTTTGCATATTGTCAAAAACATGTCACCTCATAATTTATTCATTTTGAAAATAATTTTCTTACATGTCAAAAAAGTATGTATAATTATTATACTAAACAAATCAAATAAAGTGAAATATACATTATGTTTATAAAATATTAAATTAGCATTATCAATTTAATTTCAACTTTGAAATCATGGTTGTCACTCCGTTGATACATGCTGATGATGTAGACGAAACAAATTTAGAAATACGATCACTGGTCCTGGTGGCGTTAACAGCCTTTTTAGTAGCATGAGCTTTGCTAGGGTCACTAGATCCCATTGACATTGGTTTCCTAAATCCTTTTATAATTCCAACCAGAAGATGACAAAAGGAGTAGAAAACTAGGGGGTAGTTAGAGTTTTTATTTTCAAATTAGACTTTTCTTCTCTAGACCTCTTTTAGTTTTCATTCATTCATTACGACATAAAGCGACCAATAGAGGAGGGCTCTGAGGTTGGGCGAGAAAGATGGGAAAGGGGCTTTGAGGTTTAGCGAGAGAGAAAGAGGCTTTAAATGAAGAGAAAGGGGGAGGATTGATTTTTACATGCAGAGCGGTGAGAAGGAGAAAAAACTTGGAGTGTCATTTTCTTGGGTGTTGGGATTAGTTTTGAGTGAAGAGTGCTTTCAGATTTTTTTTCTTGGCTAAATTGCACTTAAATGCCCTGTTGTTTCACTAACCTCACACTTACGTAGTTTCTATTTTAAAATCAAGAAAATAAATGCCTTAAAGTATTTAAATATTGTAGATAAATGCCCCAACGTTAAAAAGAGCCTAGTTTCTCTATATATCCAAGAACACCACATAATAGAGTGTACTAAGACTTTTAGAAAATTTAGGGCATTCAAGTGAGGCCATTTACAAACCAAGGGTATTTATATGCAACATTTGGTCAACAAGAGGGCACCACAGTGCAATATTTTGAAACTTCGGGGTATTTATTTGCAATAGTTAAATACTTTAGGGTATTATTTGCTCGGTTTTCAAATAGAGGTCAGTTATGTGCAAGATTAGCAAACCTATAGGGCATTTAAGTGCAATTTAGTCCTTTTTTATCCTAAAATTTTGGGAGGCGGTTTGTCAATCAAGAGTCCCATTTAGTAATTCTGTTGGTGCCATAATATGGAACAATGTAGCTAATCA